TGTAATTATATATGCAGTCTGAAAATAATATATATAAAGCTCAAATCTTAAAGGATTTTAATATCATCAATATTAATAACCTCTAATCTATTTTTCCTTTTTTCTTTCCCTATCTTTCTATTCCCCTTTTTCAGGTTACTTTTTTTTATTATATTATCCTACTTATACAACTATATTTTACAATTTTTCACAAGGTTTATTAAATATAGGTATAGTAACAAATTTAAAATGCTAAATGCTCAACAAAGAGTTATAATAATTATAACTTTTTCGTAGGTGTTCAACCTATTTATAAGACTATCTAGCAATTTAAAATTTTATTTTGTAGAAAACTAGTTACAAAAAAAGGGGGGGGTAAAAGCAGAAATTAATAATAAAATTTAAGGTTATAGCTTAACGGTAAAGCCAGCTACTCATGATAGCTCTTATAAATGTTCGAATCATTTTAACCTTAGTATTTTTTTTAACCCGAGTGCTGGAATTGGTAGACAGTCTTAACTTAAGATTAAGTGACGAAAGTCGTGAACGTTCAAATCGTTCCTCGGGTATCGCTCTTATAGCTCAATGGTAGAGCAAAATACTGTTAATATTTGTATAGATGTTCGATTCATCTTAAGAGCTAGTTATTGAGTTATTTTAACAACTTTAGATAATTAACATATATATTTATATTAAATAGTTCATAAATTACCAATATAATTTTATCAGTTTTAATTATTTTGTTAAATTAAAAATCACCCTTGCGGCTCTGCCGCGAGGGTGGTTCCAACCTCCTCTGGAAGGGGCCTCCCTTTCCGTAGGTCGTCTCCTACGCACCGTCGGAGAAGTTTTTTATTATTTATTTATTTTTTTTTTATAAAATTTGTTTTATTGATAAACTATATAAATTTTTATTTTAATAATTTATTATTTATATTTTAATTATATATATCCAGGGGTCATAGTATAAATGGTAAAACTAGGACTTTGCACGTCTTCGATTCAGGTTCAATTCCTGATGACTCCAAACAACTAGCAGCTTTAAAAGCTCAAAAAAAAAAGATAATATAGTATTTACAGGAAGATATGTTTAAATATTATTTATCTATATGTATATAAAATGTAATATTTATATTATTTTTCATATAAATACTTTTTTTTAATATTTTATATTTAATTTCTATATAAATAAAAATATTTTTTTTATATGTAATACACTAATTTTTTTTTTATAATTAAACCCTACACTTTTATTTAAAAAAAATAATAGTTTACTATTGGAATAATATTATAAAAAAAATAATAGTTATTATTTAATATCTATAAATAAACCGAATAAACTAAATATTTAATGCTATGTCTTTATATGGAATATACCTAAATATATAGCAGCTATAATATTATTAAGAAAAATATTTTAAGGTATCATATTAGTTTTAGATTTTATCTTTTTTTGCTATATATTTATAGGTATAACAAATTAGTATAAAATATAAGATTTATAGTAAAATTTCTAAGGTATACATTATAGCTCGGATAGCTCAATTGGTAGAGCATGGCACTGAAGATGCTATTGTTATAAGTTCAAGTCTTGTTTCGAGCATAATTTAATTTTGCAATAATAAACTAAATTATTGTTTCAATTAGAATTTTTTTTATTCGTAACCTGAGTGCTGTAATGGAAGCCAGGGGGTGTTTAGGTCACCTTGAGTCTATCTCGTGAGTGTTCAAGTCACTCCTCAGGTAATTATTTAATCTTTAATCTTTATACTTTTAGCATAAATTAAGCTAATAAGAACAAAGGTTTTCAATTATCCAGTATAGACTATTGACTGACACTTTATTTTTCTTCCACATATACTTAATTTAGCTATTAGTATGTGAAGTTATTCGTTTAAAATATAAGATAAAAGATTAACTTCTTTAAGTATTTCTACTGTTTGGTCCCGCCTCTGGCGGGACCTAATATAAATATATAT